GTCAGAGTAGTAGTAGAATATTGACAAACATAAAATGACGGTGGAAGAAATGATATGAGTTTTATCAGAGGAGACTCATCTCTACTGTAAGTGAGTATATGTTTATTGACAAGAGGATGACAGGATGTCAATATTGTTTGATGAGTTGCTATTAGATATATTTTTAAAGGGGTAAGTAGAAAAGGAAGGTGTAACCAAATGGCCTGACATTAAAGCTGACGGCAGCAGAGACGAGAACAGATAGGAAGTAGATAGCAGCTAGAATAGTTGGTTATTGACGATCGTATCAAAATAGTTGGTTAACCAAAACATCCATTATCAGCATCAGTAGCTCGAGAGAGAATTGAGAAAAGTTGTCTTCCAGATTCAACTATCACTGGGCTTCATTCAGTGGTAATTGAAGTAATATTTGAATTACAAGTAGTAGTGCCAGTAGAAGTATCTGGCCTCTATAGATAGTAGTCGTTTGAGTGGAAGTGAAGTAGAGATTACTATACATATGTAATAAGTAACTAAATGTACAAATGTCAGTATATCCGAAGTTGTAGTTTAGACATAGAATTGGACGAGTTTAAACAGTTAGTAGAATAGAAAAGAATAGCATTTATTGTCATTATACAAGCACAACGAGAAGAGTAAAGCCTTTTTTAAAGTGCCATCAAAACATTCAGAAAAGACAACAAACAACAAAGACACACAGCATTCATGCATACATAACATAAGAACAAAATAAAGTGCAGGAAATAATTCAATTAGTATAGCATTAGACATATGTGACCCGCTCTATCGAAATCAGTCGGAAGTCCCAACGGCTCATTTCAAAATAAACGTGGATTTGCGTAAAAAACTAGTTTTTCGGGGTTCGGGTGTTTTGTTTGATTATAAAGGAACAAAGTCTTGGCTTTCAGAATGTGACACTTTTATTTCCAAAATGTCACGATAAATACGTGTTTGAAGCTTGTAAAGAGACGAAGGCACCTCTCACTCGCACTCTGCTCTTCCGCAGCGCCGCCCTCCTCCCTCCGCTGACATTATGAATGTAAGGCGTATAGTAAGTAAGGGATAATGTGCAGCAACGCGGTCATTATGGGGAAAAGAACACCGACAGGCTGATCAGGAGCCCGACGCGAAGCGGAGGGATCTAGATCGGCATGAAGGTGTTCTTTTCCCCATAATGACCAAGTTGCTGCACATTATCCCGCTTATTACATGGCCACATTCTCAACAAAGTAACATTATGAATCCCAATATTAATTGAAATGCTTTTATGGATTTAGAAAATTATTTTATTGATTTAAAAAATAGTTGTATTGATTTAAATTGACATGCATCCGCTAAGAAAAATAGTCCGTTGTTACTGTTTGAACTAACGTAGCAGCGGCAGGAACTGCTTCGATAGCGTTTTTGAGGAGCTTTTTGATTACAGATTTGAAAACATCGTTGCTTGCTTTAAAAGTAGCTCAATTCATTATGTCAAACCTTGGAAAGTATCTAGATATCCCTGCCCTAATGCCAAAGGAACTGCACACTGAATATGTTTTGCCGTTTGATGTCTATGTCTGGACCGCTGCGTAAAAAGGAGGGTTTCTGCCTCGTTACTTCTCCGCTGTTTTCTTGTCCCTCTTGTCTTTTTCTTTTCTTCACTGGGGACTCATCAGCCACTAACCATTACTCCAAATTACTGTGCTCTCCAAATATATTAAAATTAATGTTAAAATCCTCCATGTTGCTCTCACACGACAGCGGAAAACTAAAGACAATCAGACAGGTTGCTTTTCAAACTGTTACATTTGAAAAACAGTTAGAGCGTCTCTTGTCAGTTTGAAAAGCCAACGGTAGGAACTGCTTGCGTTTTTGAGGAGCTTTTTGATTACAGATTTGAAAACATCGCTCCTTGCTTTACAAGTAGCACAATTAATTATGTCAAACCTTGGAAAGTATCTAGATACCCCTTCCCTAATGCCAAAGGAACTGCACACTGAATATGTGTCGCCGTTTGATGTCTCTGTCTGGACCGCTGCGTAAAAAGGAGGGTTTCTGCCCCGTTACTTCTGCGCTGTTTTTCATGTCCCAGTTCGAAAAGCAAACTGCATGCAGTTTGCTTTTCGGCCCAACGGTATACAGTTAAATCGACCGGACTTCTTTCTGAAGATGTGAGCGTCCTTAACAACGGTCAATAAGTCCTTGACAGCGGTCTGTCTGTTCGGTATTAACAACGTGTCACGTGTTCTGAATTGACCAATCAGAATCGAGTATTCAACTAAGCCATGTAATAATCATAGATAACACGGCAGGGTCCGTTACAGTTTGTTTTCAACTGATTTCAATTAAACAAAGTCTTGGCTTTCAGAATATTAAACTTGTTTCGGCAAATTCAGATGATAAATAACTTTGAAGCTTCGGCATAATTACAAGCGGAGAACGGAGTAACTTGACGTCACAGCAGGCAAACAACAGCCGGTGTTTCTCGTGAGGGTTTTCCCCGGGAAACAAACACCATACACACAAACGCAAAAATACACAAACACACACACGTATACACACACACACACACACACACACACACACACACACACACACACACACACACACACACACACACACACACACACACACACACACACGTATACACACACACACACACACACACACACACAACACACACACACACACACACACACACACACACACACACACACACACACACTCACAAGCTTCCCCCAGACCAGTAATCCAAACCAAAATATCTTCTTTGATCATTTGCTAATAACCAATCAGATCGATGGATTCCAGAGAAGAGGAAACTTTAAAGGCCTTTTTCTCAAAATGATGACTCGTGACAGTCATTATATAATGTGACATATTTTGCTTAATATTTGTAGTACAACAACAATCCTGATATCATTAGAAAGCTAGGAATATCCTCTTTCCAACAGTGTATACACAACTCAAAATGTGTCTTCGGGTCAATGCGACTGATTTCGGTAGAGCAGGTCACAAATGTTTGTGTGTATAGTTAGTGCACATGTGGGTTATTGCATACATATAGTAGTAGTCCAAGGCCATGATCAGACACAGTGCATATTGAATATTATATTAAACCTGGTTAAAGCCTTATTAAATAGGCACTTTCTGTTTTTGGTTTAGTTTTTTTTTTTTAAACCTAGAGGCATGCAAGGCGCTCATGCACAACACGTCAAATGCTTACCAACAATTAGGAGCAACAAGCTTCACTCTCTTTGAAAACAAACTCAAAAAGCTGCTAAAAACTGCTCAGTCTGATCAGAGTTTTAGTATCTGTAGGCTAGAAGATGTAGTAGCTATTTTAAAAGCTATATAATGGATTGTAGTAGGAGATTAAGATCAATGTGTAAAACTCAAACTAACCTCAAACAGCATCAGTTTATTAGCACCTGAGCTTTTGTACTGTGTTGCTGCTGGAAAGAACATTTCATGGCTTTCACCTCTATAGTCTATATGATCTACTATATATATATATATATATATATATATACTGTATATATAGCAACTTGGATGGTGGTGGGGGCCACATAATGTATGTACTGGCACCAGGGGGCTGCAGATTCACTTGGAACACACACACACACAAATTGCATGTACAGTATGTAATTGTCTAACTTGAACCTAGCTAAGACACTCTGCTGTTCCTCAGCGCCGCTCCCCCTCCCTCCCACTGACATTATGAATGTAAGGCGTATAGTAATCATAGATAACACGGCAGGGTCCGTGACAGTTTGTTTTCATCTGATTTCAAATAAACAAAGTCTTGGTTTTCAGAATATTAAACTTGTTTCGCCAAATTCAGAAGATAAATACAACTTTGAAGCTTTTAAAGACATAATTACAAGCGGTGGCTAGTCTGCACAAGCTACGCTGAAAGCTGTAAGTAAGCCACAGAACACCAAGAGAAAACATCATGCCTGGAGATGGACACAAAGGACGATGCCGTAAACGAGGGACCCCTCAAGACCGGCATTGACAGTCATATCTGTGAACATTGAAGGGTTCTCCTCTGCAAAACAAACCATCTTGGCAGAGTTTAATGAGAAGGGACAGCAATGTGTTCAGCTGTGGCTGAACCACATCTGACCAAGCCCTGTAACTGACTGCCTTGTGGACACGATAAGAAGAAGACTTGACGTCACAGCAGGCATAACAACAGCCGGGGTTTCTCGTGAGTGTTCCCCGGGAAACAAACACAATACACACAAGCGCCTCACAGATTATTTTGCGGTATTTGGCTGCCAAACGAAATCATGTACGCAGCTCGCAACGTAACTAGGAGTCTAGTGGAAGGTATCAGTACTACAAGTACACACATAAATAATTAAAAAAAAAAAAATTAATTACGTTGTTTATAAATTAATCTGAGGGCCGCAAAAAGAGGAGGTGGGGGCCGCCATTCGCCCATCCCTGGTCTATATGCTATAAATACCTGTAAAAAGGACAAACAACCGTCTCCATTCTCTAAAGCTACAGGCGCAGAAACGTCCTTTAACTGTGTGTAGAAATGTTTGTGTGAAGAAGTGTTATACGCTGCCAGATCTCCTGTAAGTGGAACAGGATAACATATTGCTGACTCCTCACATTTAAAGCTTCCCTCTGAACCCAGTGTAAACTCTGGATACATGCAAGCTTTAATGGACTTTCTAATGGACTTTTTCCTGCCGATTGCTTGGTTTTAATATGTCCCGTTTTCAAGATTTTTCTCAAATGTCACAGATATTATGGAGATGAAATGAATCTGGTTTGTTGTGCTCATGTAAAAACAGTCAACAAAAAGTCCTCACTACTTTTGGATAGTCTACAGAAAGGGGACGATTGCTTTGCGTTTACTAAAAGTCAACTTTAACACACCTGGATTCATTTACTGCTGCAATGCTAACTCTTAGTCTAACTCTCGACTGTATTTATATTAAGATGGAAATTGGCTGTAATTGTTTCAAATGGTGACGTGTCAACCTGTCTCTCTGTAACAGGTTGCCTGTTTGAGAACGAGCTGTGTTCACCGTATGAAGTCTGCGTTAACGGTAAGATGTCACACACACACACACACACACACACACACATATACACACACACACACACACACACACACACACACACACACACACACACACACACATATATACACACACACACACACACACACACACACACACACACCATGTATACATCACTTCAGGGGACATTACATTGACTTACATGCATTTCCTGGAGCATTATCCTAACCATAACCAACACATGCCTAACCCTAACCAAGTCTTCACCCTAAAATTAATGATTCCCCTTATGGGGACCTGCATTTTGTCCCCATAAGGGAGGCGAGTCCCCACACGTGGCTGTGTAAACAGATTTAGGTCCCCACAAGTATAGTAATGCTAGGCCACACACACACACAACACACACACACACACACACACACACACACACACACACACACACACACACACACACACACACACACACACACACACACAGAAAATGATGCCGTGTATCAGGTGAGAAAGAGACTTCTAATAACGGTAATATATAGAGACCAGTTATTGTCCAAACCACGTACTGTATAGCTAAGTTTCTCCAGATCTTATACCAGCGTCTGAACCACTGTTTTAAAGGCTGATCTGTGCAATACAAGTGTCTAAAACATGCAGAATGATTACGGAATCAGTTTAAAATCAGCAAAAATGTACATTCATACCCTATTTTAGTATCAACAGCTTAGTTTTTTAAACCTGCACGCTCACAAACACATACAGTTTATGAAGCCTCTCTGTCTCTGT